GATCTTTAGAAGGCAATTATGATATAAGCTGGAGGCAGAATGAGTAATTTCAAATTTCGTGGCGTGAAACCAAAAGAAATTTAATCACAGCGAGATATCAGAACGGAGGAAACGACTCCAGGTCACAGTAATCAAGTCGGTGTTAGTTCTAAGGGACTTTAATAAAAATAACATAACCAGACCTTCACAAATAAAAACAAAAATGCTTTTAATCTCTATTTTAACATAATCCAAAACACCACTAAATGGACATTTATTACAGAAAAACAAAATTCAATTACACTTGCAACATCATCTCTATCCATATCATTCCTCTCTAAGAAACTCTATGAGCTTCTTCAGAGGTAAGGAGGACATTGATGTTGAGCAGCATACCTTGGGCAACACAAGAACAAGCGTTTCACCGATTCAGAATCAAGAACACCCGCAAGTAGGTGACGCACATCTATTAATTTTGAAGACATTTTCGTCAAGACTAGATAACCCAAGTCAAAGGTGGTTGTGATCAAAAGATACACGCTATGAAAAAGAATAATCATATAACTTATGGTAAGTAAGGGGAAACAGAGTTGACCGTGTTTTTGCTTTAAAAGTGGAAAGAGAGAAAGAGTTTCGGAAATCTAGGTCCAGCGAATTCCAGCCAGTGGTTGCGGATGGAAAAAAAAGACTTTTAAAATCTTGCAGTTTACAAGGAACTTGTGTAAAGTTTTCCCTAGATCTACGACGAAAGTGAGGGCTAATTTGATATTTTGGGCAATAAATCAATTAAATAATGCATGTGGAGCAATATTCTTACCAATTTCGTAAAATCGGCTTGATTTATGAACTTCCCTCTTGATACTAAGAGGCTCTCAAGCAAGTTCCTTGTGTACACTCGCAGAGGTGGTTCCTGTTACTACCTTGCGGCTTCATATTGAACGCTATCCAGTATGAATCACAATCATGACTATTCTTCCAGATGACATCCCCATATTTCATGAGCGGTTTAATCAGGCAGATACATGTTAACATGGATCTATTAACTTTGTATTCAACAAATTTCAGCATATTAAATCGCTCAGAAGTTTTCTCGTATGTATTAATCAGATGATTTCTCAACGACACATCAGCTGCAAAGTTAAACCTAAGTGAGAATGAGAATCCACGTCTTTGGCGACCTTGTAGTTAATAAATAGAGGGGGTGTTGTTTATTATTATTAAGGGATAAATACCAGTATCTGGGCAACTGCCCACCTACCCCTCCCCTAACCCAACAACAGTCAATTGATGACAAGTTAGGGTTAATGTTGGGTTAGGGGACGGGTAGGTGGGCAGTTGCCCAGATACTGATATTGATCCAATCAAAGGAAGAGAGGCGAAACCATCAGAAATATCATGAATGCAAATAGGAAATAGAGGCGATCCTAACAACATACCCTCGAGGGACTCCAGAGTTGACTATTCGCCAATCAGGGGATTACCTTTCCAAAACTACCCGCTGCTATCGGTTAAGTAAATAACTTTCAAACCATCGAAGTAAGGTTGGTCGTATTCCTAGAGCCTCTAACTTAGGAAACAAACCAGCATGCTATACCTTATCAAATACTTTGCTTATATATAGGAACACGAATCCTTCTACCACTTTCCAAGGCTTAATAGATGTTGTGTACAAAAAAAACAGCTGGTTAATCTCCATCAAAAAATTGTACGAGTGAAAGAGAAAAACTTTTCCACATATTTTAGAAAAACATGTTAGCAGAGAAACAGGACTGCAATTCATTTTGAGTCGACGGTTATCATTTTTAAATATGGGAATAACATGCATTTGCAAGCTTCCACTCACTAGGGAATTGGCCAAGTGAAAATGATATATTTTTTAAAACGAGTAAAATAGACATGAAAACCATCACTGCACATCCTAATAATCCTGTTGCTAACTCCATCATGACCACATGCTTCAAAGGTATCAACTCCCTTTACTAGTTCAAGCACTTGCTCTTATGTAGCGATAAAACTTGTTAGATAAGACAAGAGTTCATTAATTATCAGCTAAGTCATACGAGAACAATTGCCTTCGCTTTCATTGGAGTTCCTATGCTAAACAGCAGCTAAAAAAGTAATGAAACCTGAAAGTTCAACAAGACGGTCACAGTCACAAAACTCATCGCGATCGCAAAATCAAATAACTTCGGAATTTGAATTAAAATCTTAACAAAATGCTAAATAGAAAGAAACCAATAAAGTCATAAATAACTAGCCAAATCCTTTACAAACATGACCCCATTTTGAAAGTGAGCATCGCCCTCGATGCTCCTAAATAGATTGATCAAGAGAAACTCGAAGTGCACTAGTTCAACAACGTTAACAGAAAGTCCATGTACATTGTTGTGGCAGAGAATGGTCAATCCAACCTGTTTTTACTTCCCAAACTTGTATAGAAAACTTTGAAAACTTCCATGGAACTTGATTAGGGTCTTCCATTTTATGAGCTTTTTTCTTTTGGTGATCAATGCCACTTTCAAGTTTAGCACAACTACATAATAACATCATGATAACTTTTCAATGAAAGAACTTGAAAGATAAAATTTCATAATTCGCACGTACTTGGTTGTATCGATTAAAACCCCTTGATCTAGTCATGATGAGTAGTCCATCATTTATTTGGGTTAATGTCCAACCAGTGTTCAAAATAGATCGAAGTGTTCATAATTAAGGTATAGTTGAACGATTCCCACAGAGTCCATACCATGCACATTGGGTGCGCATCATAACGATAACAAAAGCAATCTTTGAAGTTGCAAGCAGGTGAATATCACATGTCAAGCCCTTTGCTATGGGTGCGTTCCTTTGGGAGGATCTGGATAAGGATTTGTGATCCAAGATCACACAGATCACGGTGCATGAAAGGAACAGAGTTTTAGACCAGCTCTCAGAGAATTCCAAAAAGTGCCCTATTTTTAGACTTGTGTATGCGCGTGGGTTATTGAGCTCTTCCCTGAATGGCTCGTCTAACAGCACGGGCTTTTAGCGCGCACAATTTTTCTAATTAGTACTATTCATTAGAGGCACATTTTTTCATGGTAAACTCAAACGATGGAATTAAAACAGAGGTAAGTATTGATTACGATATGAATACTTGGGAACCCAAAATCGATTTTATTTCGTTTTCATCGCAGAATTTGTGGGGCCATTGCCAACAATCTTTCCGGTCCATATTTGAAGTACCTACTTTTTGAAATTGAACACCGCTGGGCAAAATGATTAATTTCGGATCCTTCGCCCAAAGGAACACGTTGGATCAATGATCCAATGATCCGTCTTTAGACCACACAGATCAGTGATCCGATATATCCTTGTCCAGAGTGGATTTGATAGATCACTGACCTGAAAATGGATTTGCTCGAAAGGAACGCCACAGATCAGAAATCCTGATCCGAATTCTCCCAAAGGAACGCACCCTACACTCTGAAGACAAAAATGCGTGAAAAGATCAAAGACTGTTTCATCGAAAATTCCAGTGCACAGCACGCATAACTATACAGTTAGCATAACCACGAGCACCACACTTTGTATAAATTAAAAGTATTTCATAATGAATAAAGGTCGTCAGTTTAAACATGGAACTGAGGAAAGTAACATGGTGGCAGCGATTCTGGTTGATTATTTATCAACGGATATTTAGATGTAGCGATCTACTAGTCAAGTTCTCTCCGGTTTAAACCAAGATGACTTTTAACACATCGTTTCCAGAGCTCAAAACAACAGGAGATCAATAGCACGACCTAGAAACCTTCATCGAAAATTTGTTACATTACTACACAATGTAAAATTGGTACGATACATTCAAAGAAAGCGAAGCAGCCAAGTGGACTAAGCCTGGTAAAGCTATGGCATGCCTCAGGGCATCTTTATCTCCTGCGGCTAGAACGGTGTACAAGTACAGTTTGGGTCTAACTAAGCCGATCTGAAGAAACCTCACAGTGTTGTCAGGGCGCTAAGAGAATATTTTGGCGCTAGTATTTGAGCGTCAGGGGAACGACAAAAGTTTCGACGCCTACTGCAACAGGAAGACGAGTCAATTGCGTCATGGGAGACGAGGATACGAAATCAAGGGGCACAATGTGAATACAAAGACTTTGCGGACGAACTCATGAGGGACCAATTTATCGCCCGCCTAACGTCAGATGCCCTTCGAGTGAAGTTAATCGGAAAAGGGCATAGGCATAAAACCGCATAAGAGAAAGTCAAATTACGAGAATTGGTCGAAGCCGCCAAAACATTCGAGGTAACCGCGTCCGTGGCGAATCAGCTGACGAAAACAGCCAAGAATACTCAGCAGGAGCAGGTCAACTTCACAAGCAAATCGCTGCAACCATCACAGTGTTTTTGGTGTGGTGGGAAACATCAACAGCATCACCTGCCATTTCACGCGTGTCTGCAGAAGTGGAAGACGGCGACAATCTCGAAAGCAACAATCCACTTTTGTCTCTGAAGACATTGGCGAGGAAGGTTTCGTCACAGAGTGCGACACAGCACACTTTGCAATAAAATATTTTGCTAATCTGCACCTCATACGTGAAAGGAAATCAAAAGTCGTCAAAGCACAAATCGACTCTGCATCCACTTGTAATACTATATCCAGCAGTCTTCTGAGAAAGCTATTTCCTAACACAAAGATTCGTCGGACTAGAAGCAGGATAAACACGAACAGAAGTGAAATTATGCGTCATGAAGGCCAGGTGACCTTGTGCTGCGAGAGAAGGGGCAGGATTCACACCATAGATTTCCTTCTAGTAAACGTCCCAGATGAGAAAACAGCGCTTCGCAGAGGAAGAGATGCACAGGCTCTAAATTATTTGAAGGTTTACGCTGACGAGACGACAATTTTTGAAAAATCCAATAACAGCTCTACTATTAGGAAAGTTAACAAAGGACGATGTACTACCTGCGCTATTCGAAAGTATTCAGATCAAGGCGTGCAAATCCTCTAGGAACCCCCATGCACATTGTGCTGGATCCCATTGTCAGACCAGTGCGCCTCCAGTGCATCGAGTGCCCGTATCAAAGCTGGGCAGAATTAATGAAGAGTCAGAGAGACTCTGTAATGTGGGCATCATAAGATCAGTTACACAACCTACAGACTGGATTTCAAACATCTTGAAGAAAGAGAAGCCAAACGGGCATTGATCCCATTGATCCCAGCCAGACCATCAATGGGGCCATCCAAAGACCCAAGTACACAATTCCGACAATTTAAGAAAGCTTCCACTTCTAACCAATGCAAAAGTGTTCACTATTATTCTCTCAGAGGCCTTTCATACCATCTTCCTAGACGAAGAATCATCCTTACTCACCACGTTCAAGGGCCAAGCGGTCACTTCTGCTACACCAGAATGCCATTTCGGATAGCCTCTGGACCTGAAGAGTATCGACGACGCCGACAATATATGAGTTTTCGGATGTGGCAATTCAAAAGAGGAAGCTGATATGGACCACGATAAAAATCTTACCAGCCTATTAGAGAAGAGCAGTAAGGATGATCTCCGACTTTCTACGAAAAAGATTCAGTTTAAATCTTCTTCTTTCACTTTCATGGGGCACAAGCTCACAGACAAAGGCGTGTAACCGGACCCAGCCAAAGTAGACGCAATCATAAAGATGCCAACGCCTGTTGACAAGGCTGCGGTACAGCGTTTCCTTGGGGAAGGTACGTTTTTTATTGGGGGGAGAGGGGTGGGCCAGGGCTTCGGAGGGGAGGGTCATTGGTGAATCTTTTACAAATTGAGGAGGGTCAAACCTGTTTTATTCGCAGCCGGTGGAGGGTCACGGTTTTTTTGGGCAAGGAAAAAATTACTTCATGTCGCTTAGTTGACTCTTATTTCTTAACAAACACGCGAAGTGTATAGAAACCTAAAAATTGTATATACAAGCAAAGTTACCAGTCAAGATTAATCTAACTTATTTACAGGAGTCGAAATATTACATCAAAAAACTGTCTTCTTCCAACTAACACAATCGTCTCTCTCGACTCGTACCCGCTTTCGTCTATATTTTTACGATGGTAAAGTTTCCGCGGGGAGTTCTGGTATAAAATCAGTCTCCGGTGACGATTCGTCACTTAAGCTACTCGGGCTTGAACCGACAACTCGATCTACTACATCACTTTGTGAGTGAGTTTCAACCTCGGAAAGTGATAAGGTCACTTGTTGCTCCACATTTCTTGGCGGGGGCTGCCGAGGTTGTTGACACTCCATTGAACCGCACAGCAAGCTGCCAATGTGCCATCTTGTGATGGGAAAAGTACAAGGATTGCTCGTCCACCCTCAAGGACGACAGCTTATCGAAGTTGTACAGTCCAACCCAATCAATGTCATTGTACTCCCCATTCAGCCGTTCCATTCGCTCCCTTTCAGTCTCCCCTTTCTTCTTCTCCTTTTACATTTTTATCTGGGCAAGGTGCTCAACATACTCTGCCACAAACTTTTCAGGGACAATGTATTTATCTGAAAACTCTCCGATAGCCTCACTGTTCCCACTGACTAGTTCACTTTCCTCAAACAATCGCTTAATCTGAGCTCGAGGCTGGAAGTCGTCCGGCTCATGATGGAAGTTTGGTAGCTTGCCATAGTCGGGATATGATCGTCGAGTTGGAAGTGGAGCGCTGGTAGTCTCATCCTTCTCGCAAAATTTACATAGTTAGCCATTTCGCTCTTGACACGACATTCGCCTATACACCATATAAAGCTCTCCTTTCTCACAATGGAGGGTCTCAAATTGTTCAAGCTTGGATAAATACCTATGCCCCGGTGTGATTTATTGCTTTCAAAGCCTCGCGAACTTCCCACCGGCGCTTTCTTTCAGTCACGAAACAGCGGCGAAAGCGTTCCTTGTAGGAACAAGTGGTCCAAAAGGACAGGTAGAATTTTGGCGGAATACTATTTGAGAATTCATCAGCACCGAGAAGAATTATGCTCATAATGAAAAGGAGTGTCTCGCAATTATCTCTCGTATGGAAAAGTGGCATCAGTACTTGTACGGAAGACACGTCTTCACGGTAATGAATATGTATGCGCCCAAGATGGCTGCAACGTGTTACTTTGTTCTCATCATATTAGGTTTTTTAATTTGTTTTCCTACTCTCTTTCGATCATCATTTATCAATTTTTCGGTTTATGAGAGTCCTCTTACTTTATTGCTGAGATGTCATGGTCCTCCTCGCGCAGTTAGATTGGTGGATGGAAGAAACAAACTTACGCGCTCGATTTGTACTTGGTGCAAACGTGGTCACTTGACGCTTGGTCTGCCTACAAAATTTGACCTTACTATCTTCGTGGACGTTGAATCTAATCCTGGTCCAACATCCCCTCGGATGGTGGGGATACATAAAGAACAAAACGCCTATCTGGGATATAAGTTCTCTGCGTTTTCGACTGCAACGAAATCGATGAATTGGCTTAATCACAATTCACAACACACTTCTCCATTAGTGCCTTTTGTTCGTAGTGCTCAGAGCTTCTGCTACAACTGGAATCTCCCATGTATTTTTACTTCCTCTGGGCAAAAAAAATTGTCAAAGAAAGTTTAGAGGTTGCAGAGCGGGAAAAATAGTTCAAGAAAAGCGGCGGCGCTTGAATTATATTCGAGCTTTGGTCTCACCCCAAGGCTGTCGATTAAATTCCTCACGATTTACATGCACGATGAAGACTCCTGTTGGATCGAATCTTAGAAATTTAATTGAACTTACTCCTAACCCGATTAAAAGCTACACACCAAGGGCTCGCTTCTTGAATTTTTGCTTGCTAAATGCGCGTTCAATTAACAACAAGACTACTATCATCAAGGACTTTGTCGTCGAAAATAATATTGATCTTCTTGGCTTGACAGAAACATGGCTTCAATCAGATGCTGACAATGAATTAATTATTCGTGATTTATGTCCTTCAGGTTATTCATTTCATCATGTTCCTCGACCTGGTTCTACTCGTGGAGGAGGAGTTGGCTTGTTATTTCGATCATCTTTCAACTTAAAGTTGCAGCCGCTCAAGAAGTTTTTGTCCTTTGAATATATGGATTTGTTATTGTCAAGTACAGTCGGTTTAAAACTCAGAGTTATTATTGTTTATCGCCCACCTCCCTCGACCTTGAATGGTTTAACACCCTCATTGTTCCTTGATGAGTTTTCTACGTTCCTGGAGCACTATATCGCTGATCCTGAGGGAATATTATTAGTTGGTGATTTTAATATACATGTTGACACCTGTTCTTCCCAACACTCAACTGAATTTCTTCAATTGTTGGATTCTTTCAATCTTACTCAACATACACATGGCTCAACGCATAAAGATCGACACACCTTAGATCTTGTGATTACAAGATCTGATGATAGAATTGTTTCGAATTTAACAATTGGTTCTCCTTTTGTCATCTCTGATCATGCTGCTGTTCACTTCCAGCTCTCGCTTAATAAGCCGCCGCTCGACAAGAAGATTATTTCATTCAGAAAGCTTCGATCTATTGATTTTGATAATTTCTGTGCTGATGTTATGAATTCGAGCCTTCCTGATCTTTTTGCCTCGTCATCGTCATCCTTGGATTATTTGATTGATCAATATAACAGAGTCCTTACTACCATACTTGAGACTCATGCTCCACTGCAAAAAAAAGTTAGTTACTTTGCGTCCCGCTGCACCTTGGTATTCTGAGGAGATAAATAATTTAAAGAGATCCCGTAGAAAACTTGAACGACGCTGGCGAATGACCAAACTTCCTTCTGATCGTAAGTTGTTTATTGAGGGATGTGATGCTGTCAACAACTTAATTCGTGATTCCAAGAAGAATTATTTCGCATCATTAATCAATGAGAATCAGTCAAATTATAAACAGCTTTTTAAGATAATTGATAAACTACTACAAAGGAAAACAGATATTCAATATCCCCCTGCAAATCGCCCACTGATCTTGCTAACAAGTTTATTAAGTACTTCACTACAAAGATAGATAGAATACGGGGTAATATAACGTCTGCTGCTTTCTCTCATCGAGATACAGTTGCTGTTGTTGACAACGCCTGTCCATATTCTTTTGATACTTTCAAAATGGTAACAGCGGATGAAGTTCATAAATGTATCATGAATCTGGCTGCTAAGTCATGTGCTCTTGATCCTCTTCCTGGTTATGTTACAAGAAATGCACTTAGTGTTCTGTTGCATTTCATTTCCAAAATCATAAATATCTCATTGGAATCTGGTCAGATGCCTTCGCAACTCAAGGTTGCAATGTTACGCCCGCTCCTTAAGAAATCTTCTTTGGATCATACTCAATTCTGCAATTATCGTCCTGTATCGAATCTTTCATTTATTAGCAAAGCAATTGAAAAATTGGTAGCTAATCAACTTATCTCCTACATTAACGAATATGAGTTAAATGAGACATTCCAGTCGGCGTACAAGAAATATCACAGTGCTGAAACTGCACTTATTCGTGTTCACAATGATATTCTTTCTGCCATTGATAATCGTCGAATCGTAATCTTACTGTTATTAGACCTTTCCGCTGCCTTCGATACAGTCGATCATACCATCCTCCTCTCTCGTTTACGTGTACGGTTTGGGATAGCTGGGAAGCCTCTATTATGGTTGCAATCTTATTTATCGAATCGCACGCAATATGTCTCCGTTGATGGTGGTACTTCGACGAAACATGACCTTAAATGTGGAGTGCCACAAGGATCTGTCTTGGGACCCATTTTGTATTTGCTTTATACTTCACCGCTTTCAGATATCGTAAAGAAATTTAACCTGAGCTATCATTTTTATGCTGACGACTCACAGCTTTACTTGTCTTTCCAACCAACCGTACTGGGTGATAGGGATCAAGCGGTTTCTAGCATCGAGAGCTGTGTGGATGAAATCAGTCATTGGATGATGGTTAATCGTCTTAAATTAAATAAAGACAAAACTGAATTATTGGTAATTTCCGCTAAACATCTTCCAAGACCACTCCTTCACGAAATTTCAGTTGCTGGTGAGACTATCCCTTCCGTGCAAAAGGCGAGGAATATCGGCACTATGTTCGACAGCCATTTTTGCTTTAAGGATCATATTACTGACATTTGTAAATCTTCATTTTATCATTTGCGAAATATTAGCTATATCAGGAAATATCTTTCAGCGACCACTACTGAATTGCTGGTTCATATGTTTGTATCTTCGAAGCTGGATTTCTGCAATTCCCTTTGTATGGCCTACCAGCCTACGCTATAAAAAGGCTACAACACGTCCAGAATGCCGCGGCGCGCCTCGTCACACTTACAAAAAAATCATGATCACATTACGCCTGTTCTTTTCAATCTTCATTGGCTTCCCGTTAACCAACGTATTATTTTTAAGATTTTACTTATAACCTACAAGGCACTTAACAACTTGGCACCGTCGTACATTTGTGATCTGCTAACATCTTACACCCCATCGCGTCAACTACGCTCATCATTCAAGCACCTTCTGGTTTCTCCATCCTATAACTTGAAAACATATGGCGCAAGATCCTTCTCTGTAGCAGCACCATCATTATGGAATGCTTTGCCAAGTGAAATTAGAAATGCTCAGTCTGTTTCTGTTTTTAAACGTAGATTAAAAACTTTACTCTTTAGAAAAGCCTTTTATAATTAATATTAGCTGTCTTAAGTGTTAATGTTTAAGCTTTTTTGTTAGCGCCGTTGAACAGTAGGATACTGGCGTGGTATAAATCTTTTATTATTATTATTATTATTATTATTATTTATAATTAATATTAGCTGTCTTAAGTGTTCAAGTTTTTTTTTTGTAGGCGCCTTTGAACAGTAGGATACTGGCGCGGTATAAATCTTTTATTATTTTATTATTATTATTACATACAGATCATGAACCACTCGAGACATTCTTCAAGAAGCTTCTCTTCAAAGCCCCTCGACGACTGCAGCGAATGGTGCTCAAGCTACAAAGATATCAATTTTCAGTTCGATACAAGAAAGGAAAGGAACTTTACGTTGCCGACACTCTGTCTCGTGCACCTGTCACTTATCATCCTTCAACAACCAGTGCTAGGAAAGAATACGAAGTGTTCCGGATGGAATTAGCTGAGATTGATATTGAGCCAAACAGAGTCGCACCTGAAACCATGCAAAGAATCACACAAGAGACCGCTAAAGATCCGGTTCTGGCATCCCTGTGCAGTGTAATAACTAGTGGGTGGCCTGCAGAAAGAAAGGAAACGCCAGAGCAACTAAGGCAGTATTGCAGTTTCAGAAACGACATTTCTGTTTACGATGGAGTAGCCTATCGATCTCACCAAGGCATTGTCCCTTCTTCGTTATGAGTAGAGATGTTGCAGAAAATACACAAAGCGCGCCAGGGGGCTGATAGCAGCATAAGAAGATCGCGCGAGTCTCTCTTTTGGTCTGGAATGCAATCAAGCAATCAAGGAAAAATGCCTTTCATTTGGACTTTGTGCCCAATACGTCAGCGAGCGACCAAGAGAACCGATGAAATCTCGCCGACCAGACCGTGGTCAAGTGCTGATAAGTGCTGACCTCTTACAGTTACATGGAAATAACTATCTCGTAATGGTCGACCATTACGGTGATTGCATTGAACTTGACTCCCTCAGCGGAAATACCTCGGCTAACTCAGTGATCAGAGCAATGAAGCACAGTTTGCTCGCCATGGGATCCCAGATGAGTTGATAACAGACAATGGCCCGCAATTCGAAAGCCAGTAATACTTAACAACCCGCCAACGAGTTCAAAGCTACTGCGGTTTTACCTTATGTCAAAGGTCTGTCCGAAAAGCTTCGCCGTTGCCTACAACAAAAGGCGTGCGCGCTGTTTTCAAGTCGGAGACTACGCTAAGATCTCACTTAGTACGACCAAAAGACGCTGTCGACCCGGCTAAACAAGATGGCGTGGTTTCCCTGTGAATGCGGCAAGGTGTACATCGGAGAGACTGGAAGACCTATGCAAGATAGAATTAAGGAGCACGATTGAGACATTCGACTCGCCCGTACCGAGACCTCCGCCGTTTCAGAGCATGCCCACAACACCGGACATGAGCCACTCTGGAACGAAGTAAAGTTTATTGATCGTGACCCTTATTACTACACGCGCAGGGTCAAAGAAGCAATTCATATAAGACTTCACCCTAACAACATCAACAGGGATGGTGGAATAGAAATTCCAGAAGCGTGGATGCCCACGATTAAAAAACACAACAACAGGAGAGCCGTGCGACAGCAGACCGCCGAGGGAGCAAATCACTGAGTGAACAGCAAAGATCGAAATGCACCAATCAGAGCTGTTGAATAACAACTAATCACAGCAGAGCATCATGCTTTATAAGATCACGCATGACCAGTCGACCTCATCGCCTGAAGAAGACTAGCAGTATGCAGTCAAAACGTCGTGATCTACATCACACGTGACTGCATCGTGAGACAAACGAAAGAATTAACTTTTATTGTTATTCACCACGATGAATAACCACAACCTT